AAGGCAGTATACTGCATTCACCCACTCCTAAAAATGGAAAAAACTAAGTAAAATATTATTTCTTAAAAAACATAGAAATGTAACCCAGTAGCACGATAAAAGGTTTGTCCAATAAAAATGGTAAACTAATCAAACTAAGCATAGAAGTTAAGTAAAAAAAAAGACAAAATGCTTTTCATAATAATTCATGGAGTGAAATGCAGCAGCACTTGGCCAAATTAAAAACTAGCACGAACAAATTAACACATGATCATGTCACAGTAAAAAGTTATATCAGTAATTATTAAGAAACTCTTTTTTTTTTTCTTTTTTAGAAAAGTTTCTGAAAATATATTACTACTTGTAAAATAGTCACTTGAAAAACCAAAAATCTACAAACAAATAAATAACATTCACCAAGTATTCACAAGTAATTTTATGTGGAAGAATGTTAAGTTTTGACTTAAACATGTTACATTTATTGTTTGTAATAAACAATAAATAAATATGTCTCAACAATTAAAATGTTATAAAAACTACCTGTGCTATTACATTTGAACAACAATTTCTAGCTTACACATAAATCAATATGTCAGCTTAAAACTGCAAAAAATTAACTCATCTCTCAATTGAATTCCAGTATTTTTAATCAGAAAGTGAAATCTCGATACAAAATAATTTAGATTTAAATTCTAACTTTTATGCTTGCTACAAATAGTAAAAAACTGGATATTCCAAATGCGTGTAGTATATTCTAAATATAAAAAAAAACTGTACTTTTATATTGCTTTAGTATAACTTTTCTGTGGATAGCACATCAATACATATACACACACACACACATACACACATTTTACAGTTCCCTATTAAAACGTTTTCTGAATAATTTTATGTATATGAAACCATGGAATGCTATCTACCTACTGTAACAGCTTGTGAACCACATGAACACTATAAGTATTATAAATGGAAATGCCCCTAAACATTAAATTGGTTTGTTTCAGAGTTCTGTAAATGAAAATATAGGAATGCAATTAACATTTTAAAAAAACATAATAGAAAGATGTACATATATTTAAGATTGTAAGTACTGCAGTGTTCACAGATAATCTGTTGGAGAATTTCACATTTTGAAAATGTTCCTTTTCAGTTGAACTACAAGTGTAAATGGCAGCCTTTAATGGAAAAGTTCTTCAAAGTGTGATACAGGACTGTACCATACTATAGCTCAGCTCTCTCAGTTAATATGTAAAGTTTTTGAAATTTCTATATTTTAAGTTTGTTTGACACAAAGAGCCACTCAAATAAATAACTTGACTATCATTTCTTTGGTGCATACGAGACAGATTTGCTAAATAGCAACTAGCCATGTTTTCTTACAGGAAAAAAGTTAATTATATCTTGAGATAGACAGTTGTCTTTTCTGTTGGCAAATTGGATAATGGCCAGGAATTGCCATGACCTTGTGCCCAGATCACAGCAGATTCAGGTCGTGCACACTTGGCATTGTTGATATCAGTTTTTGTATTAAAAGTCAGGTTTTCCCAAAAAATAATAATTCTTTGGAAGCTTTTAAGTGATGTAACATTTGCTAAACATGACCTTCAGCTTTTTCTTTGAGCATTAATATTTCTTTTGTTTAACACTAACTTTGTAGCTGAACTTTGGATGTTTGGTATTATTTTTGAATATTTAGTGTAGTTTACAGGAGGGAGCACGTAAAACTGGCAAGATAAATCTATTATTATTTCTCCAACCTCTCTTGCCAGTTAAACACATCCACCACAAACATGTAGCTATGTTTTGTCTTGTGTAATATGTTTGTGATTTTAATTTTGCTTGTAATGAAGATTGTGGTTCCAAACCATATTGTATTTCAACTCTTTTTTTTTTTCACAAGAAACTCAAGTCACAGTTCAGAGAGAAACACAAACACGCTCCGTAATTTGATATTCTCTAAACCTCCAGTTAGAGGTCCATAACCGAGTACTCTGGGAAAATCAGTTTTAATATAAGTAGGGTAAATATCTAAATAAAATGTTCTGGTCCATAGTGGACGATGCTTTGAATCTATCAAGAATGTATTTATATAGTAGATATTGTCTCAATAAACGTTATTGTTTTCTAATCACCAATCATTTATCTAATAGAAGTTCCACCAGAATTTTCTTTACTGAGTTTAATGTTTGATTTTCTGTGAATGCATTTGTAATCTCTTCTTGTTTTAACTGCAGATAAAATAAACTTTATTTTATAAAATGAATGAAGCTTATTCGCTTAGCATTATGACAACTTACTATTTCAAAAAGAAGGAATTATAAGTTTACAAATATCAGCATAATTAAAAAGCAAAACTATAAAGCATAATTCTAACATTTTATTAAAGTTTTGAATGACCAATAAAAAGGACTGATGCCTTCATAAGCTATAAAAATTTGAAAATTAATATAAAAATTGACAACCTAGCTTTTCAAAACATTATATAGTAATTTGCTAAACAAAAGTGTTAAAAAACAAACAAGTTTTTACCATTAATTTTAGTACTATAATGTATTAGCACATTTTGACATTTTTTTATTGATTACTCTAATTATTGTAATTCAAGTACATGCATTAATTAAAATATTATTATTTATGCATTTGATGGATTTTTCACTTTAGGGAAAAGCAGGAAGTCCTATTAAATAGACTCCTTGGTGCTGCACACTGGGCTATCTTCACTTCTCCTCAATCAATATTCAAATGCAGGTCATCAGCATAAAGAAAGATGTACAGGCTAATCACTGAGGTATCAGATATCTATTTATACACTTCCAAAGTTTTTATGTTGAAAGAGTCCCAAACTAATATAGTCTTTTGACCCCACACCCTCTTAATCAGCCTCATACACTCTTAAAATGATGTATTTTCTGCCATAACCCATAAAGTCTTAAATTTTTTAAAAAACTTCTGTGAACCCCAAAAGATTAAAATTGATATAACCAGCTACATGTACAATGAGCTATATGAAACACACTTTGAAGATTACTGTCACAACGGAGAAACCTAAACACGTGCTTAAGGTATAAGTATGTATTTTTAGTGTTTGCTATAACAATTTAAGATAAATTAATTTGGTTTGTGAAATGGCATCTTCATAACATTTATTTTCATTACTAGCCCTTTAAACAGTAGTTTTAATCATTTACCAATTAACATAAACCAGTTTCTAATGAAAACCACACAAACTCATAATCATGGAAGTAGCCATTAGTTATATTTTTTCAACAATAGATCAAACAATAGAAGTCAAATATTCTACCAAAGGGTACAAAAATATCAGAAATCATGTGTACTTTTTTTAAGAATGGAATATACTGTGTGAAAGGTACTTGTTGAAACTACTGTGGGGGGGAACACGTGGCAAGTTTGGCAAATCTACACTAATCAATAAATGTATATATGAACAAATATGTAGTTACTTTGCCATTATGCTAAATTATAAACGTTTTTACCACCACATTAAGAAGATGGAAAATTGATTAAAACATTGGTGCAAAGAAATTATTAAAAAATAAAATTTCAATCTTTTAGTGCAGTGGTTCCTAACTGTTTTTGCTCCCCCCCCTCCACCATGCATATTGTATATAAATGCACCCGTCTCCTTTCTATTTCATATATCTATTATAACATACTTAGATTATTTACGGCAGAAGTTTTCATGTAATTATGGAAGATATATTAATGCAGTAAATGTCTTCTTCTCTGAAACACAAAATTCCTTAGGTTAATTTCAAAATTTCTTTTAACTTGAATCCTCAGATATATATGTATTAATGGACCCAATAAAAATATATTTTTGACGCATAATACCCAACAAAACCTTGCTGTGAAAACTACAACTACAGCAAGTATTGTAATTATTTAAGTAATACTTTAAAATTATAGCATGTCCCTAGCACCTCTTTAAGTTGTATTAGATGGCATCTTATGTTTAATTTCTAATTTAAGTTATTAACACTTAAAAATAATATAAGCCATGTATGCAAACCTAAATCTATAATTTTTTAGTTTTTTCTCATTTAATCTTCAACAGTGGTTGACATCATATGTTGCAAGCACTTTGCAAGCAACATTTTGAATGGCCTTTCACAAAAATGAGTGAATCTTTCCACACGGATGGTAGGCAGATTTACACAAGCCACAAACGAAGGGTTAGTAGTACCTTGTCACACTTTAACAATTCCTGCATATACCAGTAGATGATAGATAATGAGTGAAACTCCATAGAGTGCACAGCATCATAAAAAAAAAAAGTCTACAAAGCATACTTTTTGATGTAAATCATGTTATCTTTCAGGTGCATAGTTATACTTAGCTTTAAGTGTGCTATTCATCATTCAATTACACTGGAAGACTGGATTTAGTCATTTCAGCTAAAATATTCTTTACATTGAAACACTTCAAAACTTTTAGTACTGCATGTACAAATTAAGAAAGACACCGAGAAATAAAATTATACGTTTAAAGTATTTGGCTACAAAGCTGCCAGTTCCTGTCCATACAAAGCCTTCATTTTTTAACTATAGCTGTGACTTTCTCTATAGGAAATAAATTGTTTTGTTATATTTGCTGAACAACATCAGCAATAGGCAGTACATCAGATGTCTAATCATAATTTCAAGTACTTTGCTAGCACAATTATCTTACATGACAATTAATATTTTCATATTAAAAACAATGAATGAATAGGGGGAAATATGCAGACTTGAAAGGAAGGAAGTTTTATCCACATAGTAAAAAAATTAATTTCTGTTGCTTCAGGAATTTTTTTTTCTCTAAATGTGGTGAAGCTGTATTATTTTGTGAGAATGATCTTTAGAAACATCATACAAAGCTCATTTAAAACTGTTACAATTTTCACAATTATTATTTCTACTATTCATGTAAATAAATTTTGCCATGAACTTTTAAAACTTGTGTGTAACAGTGACTTTCCGTTATTCAAACACCTCTCCCAAAGAAAAAAGGAAACTTAAGAGGTAAACATCAAAACACTTCAGATGTTTTATTCTTTTTTTTTTTCTTCTAATAATGAACATCTGTAAAAATACACAAGCAGAAATGGAAAGTAGTAAACATGTGGTTAATTACATGTTGTCAAGTGCCAAGAAGCCAATCATGAGGTCATCTATCTGTCTTTGAGATGCTGGAATATCTTCAGAGCTTGCAATCAAAACATCTAACACCCACCATAGAGTTTGACTGTCCACTTGTATTACTTCTACTGCAAAATCTTGCCTCCACTTCTTTGACTGTAAGGAATTTCCAATAGATACACCATATAACACTTTTATCACTGTCTTCATTTTTATTGGTATTTCACGTTTCGTTTTCTGCTGTGCAGCTTTATCTGTTTGGTGTAAGTTTTCAATAGGAATATCTATATTCATATGAAACCTATTTAAGTTTTTATCCATAACCCACAAAAGCAGGCAAATATCACTGGACTCTGAAGACATCATCTGAAATTAGAATAATAGTTACAGCAATAGATACTTCGATAAGAAATAAATTCTATCAACTAGTAAACAGTTCTTGTTTTTACACATACAAAAAATATCAATAACAAAAGGTTATAGCTACAAGAGAAATGTGGGTAACAAAAGGCAAGTAAGGCCACACAAGATTACCCATCAACTACCATACAAAGATACCTTTTAAATTTAATATTTTCTGTCCTTACACTTACCTAACAGAGCTTTGTATTCAGTTTATAACTTATACCACCCATCCCACAGAATAGAGTACAAATTAAATTAAACGATAATTCTGTCAAGCAAGCCCACTTCTGTGGTATGCAAGTGCATATTTAGTATTTTTTGCCTTCTTTAGTGAATTTTTCAATGGTTTTGCAGATTTGACAGTAAAACAATAGTCAAAGAATATGGATAAGTTCCTCTTGCTCTACTACCTATTGTTATGGGCTATTCCCATATAATGTGATGTGTACTTTCTCTTGGTAAAAATTGCTGTAAAGAGTATCTTTTCCAAATTAGTCAATAACCTCAACCAGTAACACAGAATTACCTCAACAAATCGTGAGAACCTGTCCATTCTTTCAATAAACTGATCCTGAACATCACATGCGAGTTAAAGCCATTTCTTCCACAGTAACATTGAATTATATAATAACAGATTATACCAGCAATTGAATGCCACAAGTAGCACTTCATGAATTCTAAGAAAAGTAACAGAAGGACTAAAACCTAGTGTGTGTGGTCCTTGCTTAGCAGCACTGCTAGCACAGATGCACAAAGTTTTTGTATGAAAAGCTACAAGAATAAAAAACTATGCTGTACCAATGATATATACCAAAAAGACATGATTCTCAACCTGTGTTGCAGCTAGTGGTCCCTGGAACTCCGAGGCAGGAAACAATCAGTATGCCGTTACAAATATGCACCTATCTTAATGTGAGAATGCAGTTTTCTGCCAACAATCAGGTTGAAATATAGCAATGATGCAATACCATACTGTGTCACCAGAAAAAGAAATCTGGCCAAAACAGGGAAAAACTCCAGCACAGAGTTGTTGGTTCTCTGTTGCAGAGAATAACCCTGAATAAAACTTGTCCTCTCCAATAGACTGAATGAAATAATCAACATGTGCTGGTTATTATCAATTATTTCATCAAATAGGCTGATGCTCAACTGTTTGTCAATAACTAAGCACAATTCATCACTGATATCTTGGATGTACAATGGATAGCACTATTTAGAGCATGTGAATAAATTAATATGACCCATGGAACTAATTCCAAAAGCTAGTTGTTTTCTGAGTTATGAAAACTAGTGGTGTTATGAATACATGTACTTCACTGTATCATCCTCCATCTGATGATCTGGCAGAACTGATAATATAAAGATTATCAAGTAAATGTTTGTAAACTTTGTTAATCGTAACTAAACTGATTGAGCCAAACTCTTACTCTTTCTAATAATGATGTATTGTACGACATAACAAAAGTTGACTGGTTGTACATTGAATGTGCCAACAACTACAGCTTCCTGAGGACGTGATGTATGGTCTATACCCTAGAATAGATATGCCATAGTGTCCACAAGAACATTGGGTGGTTGAGGTCTGTATTGGTTAGTGCACATCAATTCACACATCATCAGCTATGAAAGGTTGCTATATGGCATAAGAAATGTTATAACAAAACAGTTAAAAAGCAAATATTTGAGCATTTAGACTGGATGTGGCTTTGGAATGTGCAACACAACAGCACAGAAGCAATTCATTTTAAGGAGATAATAGCTCTTAGTGGTGCACATTGGATTTTAAATTGTTGAATTCCACATTTCTTACTTGTTCTGGGCTAATAAAATAGCATTAATTGAGCCCTCATTTGAAAAACTCTTAGCTATTTTTATCACAGCTACACATACAGAACAGAACTTAAAAGATTTATCAACAATTTCAACATCATACCAAAATCTTTTTTTATTCCTACCACACCAAAGGCCTTTTCACACAAAAGTAAGTTCTTTCCAAACCCTAAATGCATAACTTTACACTTTTCAATATCAGAACTTATCTTCCCCATTATAGCCCTTTCACTAGGACCATGAAGATTTTTTCAGTTAGAAGATTCTTGGTCAAATCGGGATTTTTTTTTAGTATTTTCATAACTTAAGTAAATCTATAAATATTATGCCCAAGAAGCTTTCTAAATTGTTAGAATAAATAATGAACAACAAAGGTTTTAACAAAGACACCCGCAGAAATCCTGTGCAATCAAATACTTCCAGGTGGAACAAACCATCATTTAAAGTGGTAGAGGCTCCACTTTACAGACATTTAAAAAACGAACTGATGAACATTCAATGTATAAGGGCTGAATTTAATAATCATTTTTCCATTTGTTGATGAAAGTTGAGAGTCAGAACATCCTTGACAGATGAAAAAGTCCCTTGATGTCCCTTAATATATAAAGAATTTATGAATTACTTCTGACAGCATATTCCAACATCTTGCTAAAAGCAGAAGTCAAACTAACAGGCCTATAATTTCCTGGACCTTTCAAAAATACAAAAAATAATTTATCCAGTATCAAAACATCTGGAAAACAAGATTTAAGGTTCACCAGCTCTTTTGTATTTGCTAAATTTCACCACAGTTTTACAATAATTCCTATCAAGATGAGAGTCTTTATTCTCAAGAAATATATCAAGCTCTTCTAAAAACAAATATTTATTCTACATAATTTGTATGCAAGTTATATAAACATAACATGTGTTTTTCTACCTTCTGATATTAATATAGTAATATTCTAAGTTTATCTATTATTCTTAATATGTGAAGTTTTACATATCATATTTTTAAAAAAATTTTTAAGTTAATTTTGTTCGAGCTGCCTTTGTTCTTATATCATCCTACTGAGGTAACACCTATTCTGCCCATGGGCTGCACGTAGAGCTTGGAAATAAAACCAATTTCAAAATACTTCAAATTTACAGTCTTTCAAAATAAGTTCTTCATAACCCTCACTTAATATATGAGAAACAGAGAATTATTTAGCCCTTCAAAGTAAAAATTTTCACTCGCCTGTTTTTCTTCAAGAAATCATTGGTTCCTCTTTGAAAGTCTAGTCTTATAAAGTGCTAGCCTCTAGTACTATAGATTACTTATTCTATAATCAGTCACCTTTTTAGAAACTGATTATAAAATAAGTTACCATCCATAGTATTAACTGTAGCCAAGCTTGTCTTTTCCAAATTTTAAACTTGCATCCACTTATCATCTTCTCTCTTCAATACAGGGCATGAATAAATAACGGGCCTTTATCCGTTTAATCAGCTCTTAAAACTTTTAATCTTAAATAACATCACCTCTTACCCTCTATAAGCTAAGAGGTCTTAATCCATCCCTTTAAGATAACCTTTCTACCCTCAAAATCACCCTAGTAATCCTCCTCTGAACCCTAATAAGTCAATATCCTTTCTTAGATAAAGATACATAAACTGTATAGTATTCCAATTGAGGCCTAACTGATGATTTGTACAGAGATAATTACTTCTAACTTGTAATCAGCAAGTTTATGAATAAACCCATAAATTGTGTTAGCTTTACTATTAGCAAAAGAGCAGTGCTAAGATGGCTGGAGTGATTTATTCAACATTGTGCCAAGATCCTTCTCTTCAGTCATGCTACTGACTAGGTTCCAAGCTATATTAATTTGTAATTTAGATAGAAATAACCATGAGTTTAATGTCATCATTGCTACTTTATTAATCATCAATGTAAGTTGAAAAAAAATAAGCAAGGGGCCAATGCTGATCCCTGACATACTTCACTAGTAACAAAGGTAACAACCTTTTGGCAGTTTTGCTTTCTCCCATCCAACCACTTTACAATATTTTGACTAGTCTTTCCCCATCTTCTACTGACACGATTTTCTTAGCTGATCTGTTGCATGGCACCTAATCAAAAGCTTTTTGAAAATCTAAGTACATCAAGTCTACATCCTTCTGATCCTCCATAAAACAAGCTACATCCTCAACATATGATAACAGATTAGTTAATCAAGAATTACCTGTGGTGAACCCATGTTGGCTTTTTTTTTTTTTATGATACCATATTTCACTAAATAATTTGGTAAAGCTTCTTTTAGATTTTCTAAAATTTTTTCCACTACAGAAGTAAGACCAACTGGCCTATAATTTACATGGCAATTCTTATCACCCCTATAAAAATAAGAGTAACACTGGCAAAACTCCAATCCTTAAGACACCTGCTTACTGGTTATTTACCTAAGAAAAATGAAAGAGTCTCACACATCTGACCTTTGAGCCCCTATAAACTTGGGAAAAAAATGTTTCTAATCTACTTTTAATCTCTTAATCTTCTACTCACTTATTGAAAAAAGTTAATAGTAGAGCTATTAGCATAATTCTAGGGAGAAAAGGATTATCTTATAGAAGATTTCTCTTGAGAAAGAAAGGGTAGAATATAATCAATAAAAGTTTACAAGAGTATCCAGGGAATCAATAGGATAATGACCTCTGATTTCTTTGTGCTATATTTCTTAAGACAACAGGATGACAGAATGCAACTTTAAGATTTGAAAAAGACAGGATAGGATCCAATTAAGACAGTTTTATTTTCTAATAAGGTTGGTTAGCTTATGGAATGAACTGTGTTTAGCAGTAGAGGAGGCCAGCACTTTACAAGAGCTTAAAAGGAGACTTGATTATTTACTAAAACATTATGGGTGGCTTTATTTTTTCTCAAGGATGAATGTATAGGAATAGCCTTAAAGGACCAAATAATTCCTTTGTTTTCTGCACATTATATTATCTATAAACGCCTTACAGCTTTTGGCTGTGGGAGATGAGCTAACAGTTTGCAAATATACCAACTGATATTTTGAATTTATGAGTAAGAAAATTAATTTCTAAAAATTTGTATTTGCATAAGATTTTGCTAAGTCTTCATTATGAATAATTTTGGTTTTAAAATATTATGCCTGAAGAATAAAGACATGATGGAAAGAGTTAAAAGATCAATTGTAAAAACAATACTTGGATTAAAAAAATTAAAGTGCTGAAAATTATCAGACGTTTTGACAAATACATGTTAAGAAATCAGCACGAGTGGGGGAATGATAAATTTGACAATGAGAATATGAATGTTAGGAATGACACACATAAGCTTCGAAAGCCCAATTCAACACTGGTTCTTTTCAGAATTACTTCCCTATTAACATTATATATATCTAGAATGGTGTGCTTGATAAAATGATATATGCTATTGTTTTCATTATATTTTTTATTTTTATGAGATGTTTAGATAATACAAAAGGCTACATTTGTTTTAGATATAAAATAGTGTGGTTGCTTTGATGAGTGAAGGAATCTCCTGGATGGGTTCTCCTGCTCTTAAAAATTTCCCCGCTTGTTTCTTAACAATAGCATACACACACAACAAAAATATCTTAAAAGCATTTTTACATATATTTTTTCCAAACTTCCCCAAATTAGATACATACCTTTGTTTCAAGGCAAATTTTACAGGTAAGAGTTGACATTAACCTCTTAATGATGGTGACAACTGATTTAATTGCATGATTTCTTCCACTTCCTGGTAAATGACTTTCATTGTTCATACAACAACCAGTTAATTCAAAATATACACATGACTTGAAGAGTTTTGACATTTCTCTCATTCTGTCACCATTTTTCTTAAAAGGAGGGCTTGGTGATAGTTCCCCAATTACCTGAAGACAGCGTTTACAGTGATACACACTGCCAGTAGAATTGATTTTATCATTTTTCTCCATCAAAGTACAAGTAATGAAATAACTAAGCTGGTCAAAATATAGATAATTCTCATTTTGTACAAAATTTACTACATCACCATTCAGTGCATTTTCTGTCAATGAATCAATTTCTCCTCCACATCCACTGTGTTTATGACACCACCAATCATTTGCCATTTCCTCCCAGCTTTCAGACGGTAACTCAGAAACTTTTTCAAAAATAATATCTTTGACTAACTGATGGCCACACAGTCTACAACATAAACTATACAAAATATTAGTTAATATTTCGTTCTGCTTAAAATCATTTAAGCTAAAATTTAAATGTTTTTTCATGTTAATTATTAATTCATTAGTTTCATGATAAGTGAAACTTAGGTCAGTGTTATTATTATACACTGGTATAGAACGTTCATCTAATGTATGGGAAACAGTAGACCTACTCACAGTAAAATCATCGTCAGTATATTTTTTCTGATTTAAACATTCTGTTACATTTGAATTAACTCTTTGAGCACTATCAGTATCACTTTCAGAATTCAATAATTTTCTTCTTACATGAACACGAAATGTAATTTCAGATGTACAACTTTCTTGAGAGGATGGATCTCTAGATAACACTTCCTCTTCGAACAATATTTGGTAGAACTGACCTGAAAGACCCGAGCACGAGGGTGGGCAAAATACATAAATGCCCTCTTTATTCCAGTCCAACTCGAAACACACTATACACAGGGATTTTTGACTTTCGTCAAGTCCCTCTACAATAACACCATCCTCCTTAACCGAAACTTGAAGTCTTCGAATAATAGGATATTTCTGTTTACATATAATTACTACATTTGCTACACCAACAAATTCTAAAAGTTCTATCGTAAAACCTAACGTACAAACTTCTTGGTGTTTCTTTTCCTTTGGAAGCGCCATTTTCGATAGTGCCACCTTCGTACCATATAATATAAACATAATTAAACATTCAATTTCAAAATTTTTAATAAACAAACATTTTCAATTTCAAAATTGAAAGTATTCCACTTCTTAAGGCAGGTATTCAAAATAAATTATGTTAGAATGTTTATTCCTCACGGTATATTAAATATACAATAAAATTTGTTAAGCATTACTCTATTAGATGGGCAAAATTCTTAACTCGCACTCATTTTTTGTAAACAAGATTTCTTTATTTTATTTTTTCTGAATATAAAATATATCCAATTCTTTGGCAAATTTAACAGTTCACTTATAAACATAAAATTCCAGTACACCAGTGAACACATTGGTCCTTCTACGCTGTCCCATCCACTAAAATGAACTAAAAAAAATAACCGCTTGTAACGAGAAAGGACGTTAAAATTGTGTTGTCATGCCATCAAACCACTAAATTTGTTCAAAAGCTGAGAGCTGGATTTATGCAAGACACTAAAGTAATAGAACCTAGCGAGATAATAGAAGCAGACATTATGATACCTTATCAAGACTGCTTGTAACTTGCTATATCAGACTGACAAACTTCCATACTAACAGTTATTTTCAAACACTAGTTAACTTATGTTTAACTAAACTTAAATTATGACGAATTAATTGAGAAACAAATAAAAAATTCAAAGTCACAATTCAACCTTTATGAAAAAGGTCCTTGTTCGAGCGCCAATGTGATGGTCTAAAATGAAGATGCAGATACAACCATGGTTCAACAACAAAAACAACAACCAAACAATGTATTCAACATTAACAACACTTGGAATAAGCTTTCGCGCTTACTAAAAATCAGTTATTACACAAGTGCCTAGACAGGACTTGATAGTAATGATAATAAAAAATAAGACATAAATATCAGTATTAATAATCAATGAATTATGGAGTCATAAAAAAGACAAAGAAAATACCTAATTCGAAAAATAAAATACAATGAACACAATATTTCAATTTTTTTTAATATTAATAACAATATCGAGTGACAAACAACAATAATTCAATAACTATCTCGTGACTTTCTCTCTTAATGAGGCTTCTGGCAGGGTATTTATTCACTGAGTAAGTTACGAGAGTATAACCTCATGTGATCAATCTTGATAAAAAAGTTAGCACAAAGAATCACATATAAAGTGTAATAAACATAAAATAGGACTCAAAACTCGAGCGCGCTGCGATAGTAACAACTTT